AAGCACAAATGATCAAAAATATATACTGTAGGTGCAGAGAATGCATAAGATTGATATGAAGATGTCCAAAACAGCACGAAACAGTGTAAACTGCACACACTGACCACTAGGTGTCCCTATCCCTGATGCCAAATGTGGGCAACAGTGAGTTAATCCCACAGTGTGCCCATGGCTCTGAAGCCTAAGTGTTGCTCCATCCACAAGAGATGAATCCCAGTGTTTAATTACTAACACATGCAGAATGAATCCATCAATTTGTGCAGTATGAAAATCTGTTTTCATGGTTTTTGATTAAAACTGGAGTCATTTTAGTGTGAAAAGGTTAATGCTGGGTGCAGTCGTGAAATAAATGTTCTGTTAGGCAAATAAAAGGAGATGCACAGATGCAAACCCATTGCCCTCTGCTGTAAACTAAAGTCTTTGTTTTCTGATGGTAAGAACTTCAATAGTATTCTGCAGTTTTATTTTCAAGCCCACAGTCATTTTGCAGGAGTAGGTGTCAAAGTGGTTCAAATGGTGGTAGGAGGATCGTACAGAGAAGAAATCGAAACGAGGTCCTTGTTTTTCTTCGTCACAAAGGTTCCTGGGCATGGGGAGTTACATCAGTGCAAGTGTGTGGTGCTGTTTGCAGAAAAAGAAAAAAAATCAGTTTGTTGCTAGGTTGGCGTGCTGTAAATACCTCATCGCCACCACCTTTCCTCTAATGTTAAAGCTTAAAAAAACAAAAACAATTTCAGCTTAAAAAAACACACACACACACTCTTAACACTTGTTAAAATGTTCTTGAACCTGAGTGTGTGATAACAGCTGACAACGAATGGAGGAGGGACTCCGAGACCTTGGGGACCGTGTCAACGTTTTCTGTGCCGGAGCAGGGACAAACATTGGGCAAACATTGGGAAAGACTGGCAGCCTTTGAGATAGTGCCGTTGATCTAAGACTGAGGAGCTAGAGTCCACTATCTCCTGTCTGATACAGCAGCCAAGGTCTGGCTGACACACAGAGCTGCAGAATAAACATGGATATACCTGAAGACAATGACCTTTGAATCCCCAGTGGGAGAGGTGGAAAAAAACAGGAAGTGGTGAAAGTGACTCCTGTGACTTCCTCCCTGCAGGCCAAGAATGAATCAGGTGGAATGATTGTAAGTACACGGGTCATTGTACATAAAACACACACACATTGTTCAAGAGTGGGAGGCACAGATGTGGTGTGTGTGCCTACGTGTGTGTGTGTGAGCGAGAGAGTGAGTCTTCAGATGTAGCGACAGATGGTATTTGATTACAGAGCAGACGGTCGGTGTTGTACAAAGATGCTGTCTCAGCCCAACCTAAGGAGCTGTAGCCTCCGGTTAAGGCGAGCGGAGGGAGCCAGGCGGAGGACGAGAGGGAAAAGAAACACTTTAGAGAGAGTGAGGGGGAAAAAAAAATATAAAAGCAAGCAAGCAAACAAGAAAGAAAGGCACAAAAGAAGCAACTCCAAAAATGAGCATCAAAGAAAAAGGAATGAAAAGCAGAGAGGCAAGAACAAAAGGAAGAAAAGGAACAGAGGAACGTGCAGGCGTGGTTGAAAGTACAACAGAGGTCATGATGAGAAAACAGCAAAATGACGCAGAGAGAACACACTGAGCCTTTTTAAAATAGTCTTGTATTTTCCTTGAGAGACCCCCAAACTCATCAGAATAAAGTATCTGTAGACAGTATGAAATTTGTCAAAATGTATTCAGTATATTCTTCTTCTAAATTATGAATTATGAAGAACAAAAGGACATACGCATGCACGCAATTTATTGATTGAAGCTAGGGCTGTAGAATTTCCTAAATGACCCAATGAATTGATCAACAGATCATTTGGAACTATTATGATCACAAGTTCATATATTTGGTCGATTTCAAGTGAAAATACAAAAATACTTAAGTTTCCAGTTTCTAGCTCCAGTTTCTTACATTATGAGCAATTGGTGCAATTTGTAAAAACAAATCTGAAATCAAACATGAATATAGACATTTAAATTCTTTGAATAAAAGAAGGGAAATTAAAAACATGTCTCTTGACTTTGGAAATGTATAACTTTTCACAGGCATTATGGGATATATTGTACACAATGTAATAATAATGTAAAGAATTTGAAAATTAATGAATAATGAAAATACTCTATAGAGTATTGCAGCTCTACTTTAAAACAACCAATTATAGGATGTATACTGTATGTGTCTATTTTTTGTTATTTTTGGATTTGAAGAACTTTTATCATGCACTTTATTTCCACCAAAGATATTGATCATATGATTTCCTAGTGTGTGTCTGTGTGTCCTGCATATAGTAATTGTTGTTTCTAGTCCTGTTAATCATCATCTGTAGTCGTCTGTAGAAAAAACTAGAAGTTGTTGCTCTCCTGAGAAAACCCCTTATTAGTGCATTGAGTCATTCAGAGAACAGGGCAGCAATGATTCACTCCTACAGTATAGAGTAACTATACAATAAATGCAAACATTGTAGTAAGTGCATTGGCAAGTAAAACATTTGACTTAAATAGATCCTCTCTTTCACGCACACCCACACAGAAAAAGGACAATAGTGATAAAAATGAGAAATCATAAGTAGACATATTTTACTCTCTTATTCATTTTTATTTCCAATTTTTATTCATTTTGCACAAGCTTGCATATATACTGCACATACATTCAGTTCATAGAGGGTGAAGGCACGAAAGGCAATTTGACTACTGGTTGTTTTTGGGCTGGGCCAAAGCAATACAAGGGGAAAAATCTCAAGAGAAAATACAAAACTGCTTCAAACTAGTTTCGGCTTTTCAAGCCCACCCTCGGCCCTGTTTTGGAATTAAACATAACAACCCTTATTTAAATAAAATAAAGTCCAGTTCCATTTAGCTGCCAAGATCTCAATTGTTGCTGTTTCTCAATTTAATGTTCTTTTTTTTTTTAATGTAAGATTTCAGTAGATTAGGATTAAAATCTTTAAATTGGTTCTACTCAATGAAATGTGGTACAGCCTTCCCTGTTTGGAAAAAAAGAAAAGAAAAAAACAACACCAAATAAATTAGGATAAATTAAACCAATAAATTACACAAAAATCTTCAAGACAAAAAGACACCAATAACAAAAAAAAAAAACAGCCATGTCGTGAGTTTTATTTTACAACCTGTGTGTAATACTCATTTAGTTTGAAACATGGCTGTTCCAGTTGGAATTACTGCACTAAAATGTAATAATAATGTCATACAAAAAGCATAAACAAAACACTATTTACATAACATATTGCTAAGTTACACAAAGGCAGTATTTATCACTGTAAGTCCACATCATTGATATTTACAGGAAAAAGAGCAATGTCATAATAATAATAATAAAAAAAGGAATTACTACTCAAAGCATCGAGAAACAAAAACCTTTTCAAACAGGTCAGAAAACAGAGCTGAGGAAATTATCGCACACACACACACATACACACACACACACACACACACACACACACACACACACACACACACACACACACACACACACACACACACACACACACACACACCAAACACACATTGCCAATGCTTAATGAGAATCATTTACATGTTAGGATGGTACTCCCAGGGGTGGGGGAGGGGCTACAGTGTTGAGAATTGTGTCACTCACTGGTTCACAGGTTCTCATAATCGGTCTTTTCTCTCACACAGACACAGTCATATGCATTTAAACACACACACACACACACACACTCTCAAACACACTCACACACACAATGCAAATCCTACAGAAGTTCCATAAAAGTCCAAACTTTTCCCGACTGTTTGAACCCGGTAAAAAAGGGTATAAATCATTTTTTTTTTTCCATCTGCAGTCTCTTTAAAAAAAATGTTACTGTACATGTGCCCCCTCCATGACACTACACTTCTGATGACAATGAGTTCCTGTCTCTCCTGGGTCAAATCTAGAGCTTAGTCTGAGCCAGTCTGCGCTTGTTTTTTGGATGAGACCTGGTCCACAGACTACCAACGGGCCGCTCCATGACATCACTACCCAACCGCTAGCCTAATGCATCGTTCTGTCAGCAAAAATTAAAGAAATGGATGCTGGTGCAACTTCAAGGGCACTGCCGATGGGAAACAGAACCCCATTAAAGGCATGGCAGGGGAAAAACAAAACAAAAAAACCTCTCCTTTGTTTTTTACTAGAAGACGGTCATGACTCCATTTTCGAGAGATTTTTCACCCTTCTTATTTTAACTGATAATAGAAAAAACTGTACAGCTATTCTTTGTTTCATCCTGACAGTATTTACAGTAGCAACAACAATATTCCATACTCTGAAAATGTAATCCAAGTTCATTTTGCAATGTCAAGAGGACAGCCATTCAGCAATACAATACAAAAAGAAACCAAAAAAAAGGAAAAAAAGTGGTCACGAAACCTGCAAAAATCCTACAACTATTGCTCCTAAAACTACCAACAACTCACTTATTCAGAATACAGATTTAACAAAGCCGTCACTAAAAATATCCTCAAGATTTCTGTATTGAAACATTTCCTTCCAGTGCCTTCCAAAGATATTCCTCCACTGCATATATTTTTTTTTTCCCATAGATTTATCTTTTACAATTCTTAAAAAAGCCTATATATGAATCTCAATAATGTTATTCTTAAAATCAGACGACACCAGAAAAGGATATCTTGACAAAAATATTTTCAATGCGGTATTAAGGTCTTGCTAATCCACTCTATTTTTCTTCCACACAAGTCTTCATTATCCTGAATTAATCCTTTTAGGCGCAGGAACTCTTTAATTTCAGGGCGGGGTTTCAGAAACGGGGGAGGGGCTGGGGAGCGATAATAATCTGTGCATCAGATAAAAGTGTCCTTTCCTTTCTCCTTTGTTAGTGGTGCTTTAAAAGCCCTTGGTTGGTGCTTAGAGACTTCTAAACGTGCAGGGCCTAGCCCTTCCTTCAGTGAGAAATGCGTCCGGCTCAGTCTCTCAGGGTGCCGGATCTTAAGAAGAAAACTGTCTGGGGCGGAGGAGCTGGGGGACATAATGAAGGGAGTAGCTCTCCGTCTTTCTCTGCCTCCTTTTGTCAGGTGCTTTGTCTCGCTTAGGCAAGACAGCAGGTTAAGCAACCTGCCTCTTTTGATCTTTTGTGACACACATACACACACGCACACACACACACAGACACACACACAGACACACAACAAGCTAATGTAGCCAAGGCGAGATCAACAGTTGGCTCGCAAGCACTCTAGTGCTCAATTGTTCAAGTCCTCTCACTGCTTCAAACTTGCCTCATTTAAGGGAAGCTAATGCTAACTGCTTCTTTTCAATTCTTAACTTAGAGGGTGGATAAAACTAATAAAATGATGGGTTTACATTAAACCTCAAGTGGAGCAGCTGGGATTAGGTTCTCAGAAGTGAACGGAATGGTGTTTTAACTATCTTGGCACAGTGGCTTCATCAGTTTCTCAAATTGGGTCTTGAAAGCTGCCAGTTTTTGGGATGGAGGGACGGAGTGGTTTCAGGTGCATGTTGCTCCTCACTCTGGGCTTTTGTCCCCCGCTCTTTGTAGTGCTGAGAACTTCTCCAGCTACCCCTGGGGTGAGGGTTCACCTTTGACCTTGAATTGTTGCAGTAAGATCTAGATCACTCACAGGCAGGTGAGCACATAGGGAAAGAGCTGTGTTTCTGTGCGTGCTTATATGTGGGTGAGGATTCCTTCTTGAAGGAGAATTAATTAAGCTTATATTTCGGTTTCTATTCACCCACTTCTTTACCGTCCTTGAATTATCTTTCTCTCTGTGATGCTTGTTAATGTATTTAAAATCTATTGTTTCAGCCATACTGTACTTAAGATTGCCACAGTATTCTGACATGTCCAAGTATTAACTGCTATTGAAATAACTTCATAATGTACTTTACATCTAGTATAGGCTTATTGCAGTGAAAGCCTGCCATACTTACAGGCTGACTTCATCTCACATGTGAGCTATGTAGAGCAGTTCTTTAAGAGAAGAACATTTTTCTCATTCAAACGGGATTCTTTTATAGCAGAACGACAGTTTAGAAGGAGCAGTTTAATAATCAAAGCCGGAGTGGCTTTGTAAGTTTTGCCATTTAAAACTGCAAGTTAAGCACCTGAAGGCCACCCTTCTGCGTTACTATTATTTCTAATTATTATACTTCGGCACCGTTTACTTCATGTGTTTAATTTTGGGACAAGCTAGTCACTACAGTTGTATATACTCCACTTCAATGGTCCTCTATTAAAAACCCCAAATGGAATCACTTTCCCAGGCAGGTTGCCTTCGGAGCCTGACCACCAAAAGAAAAAGTCAAATGGAACACAATCCAAGTCCACTTCAGACACTGAAAGCAAGTGTAAAAAAAAAAAAAAAAAAAAGGATGGGGAAATGGGGTTAAAATATTTCAGAATCTAAACTCTCATGGAATAATATTTGATAGCAATAATTTATTTTTTTTATGCAACGTCATCAAGGGACAAACAAATCTTGAAGTGCCAATCTTCAGCAAGCAGTGATGACAAATAATAATAATCATAAACAATAACAATAATAATAATAATCATCCAAAAAATAATGTACAGCCCATTAACACAATGCCCTACTTGCAGGGAAAACACACTTCAAAACATGGTAGAGCGCAATACCTATTTGAAACCAGTCCAAGTCCCAAGACCCCAGGACCGTGAGTCCAGTCGAAGTCCAGTCAACAACCTCACTAGGCCTTGTTTTTGTGTCTGCACGTGCGTGTGTGTGTCACTGTCCTTTTTTATGGACATCCTTAATAGCACAGTATATTGGGCACCCACTTTGCATTTTGTGAACAGTTCATTTGTCCAGTGGGTTGGAGGGGCACCTCAGGGTGCCGTGAGTTAAGTCTTTAGGGATCCCGGCCTATGCTTAAGTTATTGTTGATCAAAACAACAGGCCAAACAGATGAGTGTTCAGACAGTCCAAAAAAAAACACCCAGTAAGATTAGAGTCTCTTCATTTCAGAATCATAGAAAAAAAAAGAACAAATAATAACCAACATGATAATTATCATAGAGGAACAACAACACAATAGCTAGGTCATTTAGGAACTGCCACAGAGGCTTCAAATTGGGAATGCTACTTCATAACTTTCATACATAAAAAAACAAACAAAAAAAAAAAAAAACAGGAAATCAAAAGTAAAGTTTGGGAAAAGAGAAGAAAAAAACAAAAGAGCGTATCATTTTGAAATTCTATGAAATCAGGGAAAATTAAAAAGCGCAAAGTGTCAAGCGAGGAGGAGGAGGAGGAGAAAAAAATTACTCGTGTAGAAGCTCTTGGAGACAATTGGGGGACTTGAAGATCTCAGGGACCTCACTGTCCAGTTTGCAGATGACCTTGTAGATGGCCTTCTTCCAGGACGGGTCCACGTCTTTGCCGGCCACAATGGCGTTAAAGAATTCCCTCAGTGTGATCTCGGCCACCTCTAGGAAGCGATCAGGCACCTTTACAGACAGAAAGAAAAGAGATTATTATTCATCTATTAAAGTATACTGATGACAAACTTTCAGTTTATGTTGATTTTGGTGCCCCCTGTGGACAAAGTGGTGTACTTCTTATCTCCTAGTGTATATCTTTGTCTATATTGAAAAGAGACAAAGATATGTGACGTAACACGGCGGTTACATGATTTAGGTTATGTATAACATGAATAAATACGGATCTAAATGTCGGTCTTGTCAATGAAGAGAAAGACATAATAAATGTATTTGCATATGACTGACCACAGGCTTACAATTATGAACCTGTTAGTACTCAAAGAGACCAGGAACGAGTCCAGATTAGGAGGAATATCAGCCACAGGAGAAAAATTGAATTAGCGCCACAGACAACACTGTTTTTCATTGTATTATATTCAAATCAAATGAGCCTAAAGTACAGTAGGAGAGTCATCACAGCCATACAGTGTAGGTCACTGCTGAAAAATGTGCGTTTCCTTTTGTGACCCTGCATATGAACGCATATTCACATGCTTCGATCCCCGTTCCTCCTCAAACAAACCAACGATTTGATACTCAACTTGCGTGTGCGCGAGTCCAGAGAAAGATGTTTTTACAAAGTCCTCGTTGCTTGTAGTGTTTAACTGAATCTGTGTGGCTTGAACTGACTTTTCTCTCGTGCTTCCCTGTTTGTTTGTTTTTCTTGTCTGGAGTCAAGGCTTTCTGACGGGTGGGTTGAGCAAATTTAATCGACACTACACAAAAAGACCCACTTTTGCAGGTGCTTATTTCCGACCGTGTATTCTCGTCTCTTCAGCTGTACGAACCGCGCCGAGCCGTGGAGCTAGCTCTGTTCCTTTTCTTGTTAGAGAAACAGTGGAATTCATTTCCTTGTCAAGCATGAATTTGTGCAGCTTGCACAAACACAATATTGAGCCATCTGAACCAATGGTAAAATTAAGTGTAAAATGAAACAATATAAACACAATACGACAAGAGCGCTCAAACTCCCTACCACCCAATATTGCGAAAAGAGGCATTTTTCTCCCTCCAAATTTGAGCCCTTTTGTGTTGTAGAACATTTAAAATAAAGGATAACTAATTCAACAGCCATTATCAGACAATGTTTAGTATTAATGTAAACAAATGTTTACCTTCAAATTGCTCTTTAAGCTCTGGTCAGAGTGACTCTAAAAGCAACAAAGACATACCACCCTCTGTATCTTTATCATTTTATAGTGGAGCTTTTTGTTCCCAATATTATCTCTGTCACCCCTCCCTTGTAGAATATTTTCATTGTGGATGTAAAAGCATAAATCTCCCATGTCTTGAGTATGTACTTCCTTAAAAGCTGTCGGCCTGAGAAAAGTCACTTCTTCTGAATTCTCAGGTTTCTCACACCTCCCACTTCCCCTCCTCACAACATGGTGAGCGTGACATCTTTATGAGTCCCACTGTAAATCTGTGACCAAACAAGAGAGCCGAGCTGAGTGAAGAGCGGCGGAGAGGTGCTGGCGAAAGAGGAAGTACTAAATGCTTTGGGAACGGGGAGACATGCCGCCTCTTTAGTGTCCCTGACAGCAGCGTTCACCGACACCATGGAGATGATTAGTCTGGCAAAGATCTGTGACACCTTCCCCCAAGCCAACACTCTGTCACACACACACACACACACACACACACACACACTCATGCAAGCGTGAGCACACACCAGTGCGCACACCTCCTTGTGCCAAGGAGATGACACATCCTGTACTGTTACAGAGTACGACATAATGCTACACACACACACACACACACACACAATAGATACCCGGGTGTATTTGGCTGAGTCTCTTTCCTCGACTCAGAGCTCCGGGGCGACACAGCCTTCAGGGGTCACCTGCTTGGATAATGCTGACTGTCTCCCTGCCTGCCTCCCTTGATGCTCACACACACACATACACAAACACACACTCTCTCAGAGGCACACACACATACAGCAGCATTAGCTTGCCCAAACGCCTGACAGTGCGCACTCCGCGCCTCTCCTCTCCTCTCCTCTCCTCTCCTCCAGTGTCCTGCAGATACTCATCAGGAGTGTCAGGACACAGCAAGGTTAGTGGCCACTGGAACACACACACACATAGCCGGGCATTTACACACAGGCATGCCTCTGCCCATACACACACACACACACACACACACACACACTTAAGCACATGTGGGACAGCCAGCCGCCCCCCTCAGGGTGATGAATGGTGGCTAAGATGCCCGTGTGTGTGTGTGTTGTGTGTGTGTGTGTGCATATCTGTGGCCACTGTTCGAGAGAACAGGTGAAACATAAATAAGGAGCTTGTATGCTGAGTGTGTGCGTGTGTCAAAGAGAGAGAGAGAGAGAGAGAGAGAGAGAGAGAAAAGACACAGGCTAACCCAATTCCCCAAATATTGAATTCCCCTCTGAAGTGTGTATAATTCATTGTTTGGGCTGTTGTCATCTCTGTAGTACTGGCACAATGACCCCAGTGTAAGGGGCAACTCTGTGTCTTTGTGGTGTATGCGCCGCTTTCCCCATAAGACCTCTCCAACCGGCCAGTTGCAGCGCGGCGCCCTAGCTGTTAGACGCAGGGAGTGCCGCATTACTAAGAATATTCCTGCATGGAATTTCTCCTGACGTTTTGACTATAAAAGGACAGCAAAACGCTGACTGCAAGGAGAAAGCAATGTCAAGGAGAAAAGGGTATTGGTATTTCAGATCCTCTTGACTGAGCGAGCGAGGGAGAGTGAGAATGGGAGGGAGGGAGAGATGGCAAGAGAAGGAGGGGCTGAAAGGAGTCTAAGGAGAGATAGCGGAGCGACAGCAAACGGAGAGTTATTCCTGTCCCACAAGCCTTTGTTTTGTGAGTCTTGTATGTAAGCAAGCAGTGAGACTTAACTGTTTGCAACCCCTCCCTTCTCCCACTCTGCCCCCCCCTTGCTCCCCTCTCCCCCTCTCTTCATCTCTCTCCCTCTCTCCAGGGTCAGCTGTTGGGCCTTTGTTCCTGAGGCATTGTGGGGGATTATCCAGTGTGGCCGTTCATTCGCTCGGCTGTCCGGTAAATGGGGCCAATCGCGTGGCTCACAATCCTTCATACATATTTCATAGGGCTTTTTAACAACTTCTCAGTAGAGCCCAAAATTAAAGGACAGATGTACAAAGAGGGGGAGAGAGAAGGAGGGAGGGAAAGAGGCAGAAAAAAGGAGAATGGTTGAGTGTTGGACATGGAGTGAATTAGGGTTGAAGGTGACAGTAAGGCCACACTATATTGGTAATATTTGAAAACGCACCTTCTTGCATGGTGAGCGTTGAGTCTTGGTGTAAAATACGTGATGCTTTTGTCAGTCATGAAGTGGTTATGTGGCAGAAATTTTAAGTAGAAAACTATCAGCCACCTCCACGATCTCTCATTTTGAATGTCAGCGTAGACAATCAGATGGCAGAGCTGCCGTTATTATCCAAAAGGAAAGACCTGCCGCGCTGCTTTTTCTATGCTTTTTAGAAAACTGTTTTTGTTCGTCATACAAAAGTGGACTCAGACATTTCCCAAAGTTCCAGTGTGGAAGGAGATCTTTGCAAAAAAAAGAACCGTAGGCCTGACACTAGTGTGGACAAGTGTTTTTTATTATTATTAGTAGTATTTTAAGCATTTTTTTTAATGAAGCTTTCTTAGTGTTAATACATTGCAGTCAAAAGAGCTAGTTTGAGATTGACCTCTTTATATCCACATTCACACACATGCACCTACTGTTGTTGACATTTTAAGGCCTGATCATCTGGAAAAAAAGTGTTTTTTCTCTATAAGGTGTGAATTGAATGTGTGTGTGTGTGTGTGTGTGTGTGTGTGTGTGTGTGTGTGTGGGTGGCTGAAAGAGGGGATCAAAAACAAAAGCATTCATGAAAAGGGATATTGTTGCTCTATGTAACACAATATGAGAGATAATACGGGGGGGGGAATGGCGGAAGAGAAAAAGCTACACATTTTCCTAGCCTTTGCATTGCGCCATGTATTAAGTAATTGTCATCGATGAAGAAGGAAGGAAGAAAGAAGGCAAAGGGTCTTTTCTGACAAGAGGCAGCGATGAGGCAGTTAATCACTCGTATTCACTGACTCCCCTTCTCCCCCACAACTCTCTCCCCCATTCTCTCCACCTCTCTCCATCTCCCTCTCTCGTGACAGGTTGCTTTGAGACAGAAGGATAAGCTCTTTTTCAGAGAGAGGGAATCGGATTTCCTGCTTTTTGATGAGATAATAAAATATGACGGAGGACAATAGGAGCCTGTGGAAGGCTTGCTGGGAGCTATTCACTCCAGCCACTGCCCCGTCTTAAGACTGCTTAGACAAACGTTTAAAAAGGTAGCCAGAGGGCCCCGAGCCCTTGAATAAAGGCTACTGTTAAGCACACACTGGGCGCAAGTGTGTGTCTTTGCGTGTGTTTCGGTTAAAGCCTGAGAAATCTCTTCTCTCTCGGTGACTCAGGGTTGGCTGTTTGTTTGGCCAACATGTTTCTCTCCCTTTGCTTTTGGGAACTGTCAGGAGATGTATTGCACCTTCTATTTGCACAGCGTTGGCCAAACAAGAAGAGACCCTGGAAGATAAGGCTGTGTGTGTAAGTCAGTGTGTGTGTGCGAGCAAGCTGCAGCCTTGAAGGATGAAATGCAGGGACACAACATAAGCCCCCGCTGATGGCCAGGTTAATTCCTAACTCCAACTGGGCCTGGGAATACCAACACTTCCCATCCCTTTGCAGTCATAGTACTAGTTTGTCAGGCTTTTCAGGATTTCACCAACTTTTTTTCATATTGTTGCATCCTTGTACTGTATGTCTCCTATAGCTGCACCTTTTAGAAAGAATTGCAATGCTAGCTTTGAAGCTCTTTGTGCAATAAAATTGGTGGCACATATAATTTGGCAAAAAAATTGGTAGCAACTGCCCCCGAGAGTTGTTCGATCCTTTTTTGAATAAAGACCTTGTTTATGCTAACGGCT